TCTCAGGCCTAGATTGTTTGACTGGTCCCCTGCTGTCTCTGGCCTAGATTGTTTGACTTGTCCCCTGTTGTCTCTGACCTAGGTTGTTTGACTGGTCCCCTGCTGTCTCTGGCCTAGATTGTTTGACTGGTCACCTGCTGTCTCTGGCCTAGATGGTTTGACTGGTCCCCTGCTGTCTCTGGTATAGATTGTTTGACTGGTCCCCTGCTGTCTCTGGCCTAGATTGTTTGACTGGTCACCTGCTGTCTCTGGCCTAGATTGTTTGACTGGTCACCTGCTGTCTCTGGCCTAGATTGTTTGACTGGTCACCTGCTGTCTCAGGCCTAGATTGTTTGACTGGTCCCCTGCTGTCTCTGACCTAGATTGTTTGACTGGTCACCTGCTGTCTCAGGCCTAGATTGTTTGACTTGTCCCCTGTTGTCTCTGGCCTAAATTGTTTGACTGGTCACCTGCTGTCTCAGGCCTAGATTGTTTGACTGGTCCCCTGCTGTCTCTGGCCTAGATTGTTTGACTTGTCCCCTGTTGTCTCTGACCTAGGTTGTTTGACTGGTCCCCTGCTGTCTCTGGCCTAGATTGTTTGACTGGTCACCTGCTGTCTGTGACCTAGATTGTTTGACTGGTCCCCGGCTGTCTCTGACCTAGATTGTTTGACTTGTCCCCTGTTGTCTCTGGCCTAGATTGTTTGACTGGTCCCCTGCTGTCTCTGGCCTAGATTGTTTGACTTGTCCCCTGTTGTCTCTGGCCTAGATTGTTTGACTGGTCCCCTGCTGTCTCTGACCTAGATTGTTTGACTGGTCACCTGCTGTCTCTGGCCTAGATTGTTTGACTGGTCACCTGCTGTCTCTGACCTAGATTGTTTGACTGGTCCCCTGCTGTCTCTGACCTAGATTCTTTGACTGGTCACCTGCTGTCTCTGGCCTAGATTGTTTGACTGGTCCCCTGCTGTCTCTGGCCTAGATTGTTTGACTGGTCCCCTGTTGTCTCTGGCCTAGATTGTTTGACTGGTCACCTGCTGTCTCAGGCCTAGATTGTTTGACTGGTCACCTGCTGTCTCAGGCCTAGATTGTTTGACTGGTCACCTGCTGTCTCTGACCTAGATTGTTTGACTGGTCACCTGCTGTCTCTGGCCTAGATTGTTTGTCTGGTCCCCTGCTGTCTCTGACCTAGATTGTTTGACTGGTCCCCTGCTGTCTCTGACCTAGATTGTTGGACTGGTCACCTGTTGTCTCTGGCCTAGATTGTTTGACTGGTCACCTGCTGTCTCAGGCCTAGATTGTTTGACTGGTCACCTGCTGTCTCTGACCTAGATTGTTTGACTGGTCACCTGCTGTCTCAGGCCTAGATTGTTTGACTGGTCACCTGCTGTCTCTGACCTAGATTGTTTGACTGGTCCCCTGCTGTCTCTGGCCTAGATTGTTTGACTGGTCACCTGCTGTCTCTGGCCTAGATTGTTTGACTTGTCCCCTGCTGTCTCTGACCTAGATTGTTTGACTGGTCACCTGCTGTCTCTGACCTAGATTGTTTGACTGGTCACCTGCTGTCTCTGGCCTAGATTGTTTGACTGGTCACCTGCTGTCTCAGGCCTAGATTGTTTGTCTGGTCCCCTGCTGTCTCTGACCTAGATTGTTTGACTGGTCCCCTGCTGTCTCTGACCTAGATTGTTTGAATGGTTCCCTGCTGTCTCTGACCTAGATTGTTTGACTGGTCCCCTGCTGTCTCTGACCTAGATTGTTTGACTGGTCACCTGCTGTCTCTGACCTAGATTGTTTGACTTGTCCCCTGCTGTCTCTGGCCTAGATTGTTTGACTGGTCCCCTGTTGTCTCTGACCTAGATTGTTTGACTGGTCCCCTGCTGTCTCTGGCCTAGATTGTTTGACTGGTCACCTGCTGTCTCAGGCCTAGATTGTTTGACTGGTCACCTGCTGTCTCTGACCTAGATTGTTTGACTGGTCACCTGCTGTCTCAGGCCTAGATTGTTTGACTGGTCACCTGCTGTCTCTGACCTAGATTGTTTGACTGGTCCCCTGCTGTCTCTGGCCTAGATTGTTTGACTGGTCACCTGCTGTCTCTGGCCTAGATTGTTTGACTTGTCCCCTGCTGTCTCTGACCTAGATTGTTTGACTGGTCACCTGCTGTCTCTGACCTAGATTGTTTGACTGGTCACCTGCTGTCTCTGGCCTAGATTGTTTGACTGGTCACCTGCTGTCTCAGGCCTAGATTGTTTGTCTGGTCCCCTGCTGTCTCTGACCTAGATTGTTTGACTGGTCCCCTGCTGTCTCTGACCTAGATTGTTTGACTGGTCCCCTGCTGTCTCTGACCTAGATTGTTTGACTGGTCCCCTGCTGTCTCTGACCTAGATTGTTTGACTGGTCACCTGCTGTCTCTGACCTAGATTGTTTGACTTGTCCCCTGCTGTCTCTGGCCTAGATTGTTTGACTGGTCCCCTGCTGTCTGACCTAGATTGTTTGACTGGTCACCTGCTGTCTCTGACCTAGATTGTTTGACTGGTCCCCTGCTGTCTCCATACAGCTGTGTCATAACTGACTTCTCCCTGTAGTGTTGTACCTAGGTGGCTGTCATCTAACCAAAGCCCCCTCTCATGTTGTGAGACAGTGGTGAATATGCTTGGGAGGATCTACATCAGGGCTTTTCAGTTGAATAGCTTTAGTCTAGACTGAGATGGCAAAGGAAAGGAGTTTGGGTAAGTTGGACTTAGATCCATGTTCCCAGTGGGGTCAAGGGCAGATCAAGAAGTCCCAGATCAGTAGTATACCTCAGCAGTTTACACACGTTATCATCCCTGTGATAAGAGAACAAACATTTACTAACTATTTACAACATGTATTGATATATGTAGATTTGTAAAGTTTTAATCAGTTCTAGATAAAGGTGCGGTTGTCAGTGTTAGGTCAGTTCTAGATAAAGGTGCGGGTGTCAGTGTTAGGTCAGTTCTAGATAAAGGTGCGGTTGTCAGTGTTATGTCAGTTCTAGATAAAGGTGCGGTTGTCAGTGTTATGTCAGTTCTAGATAAAGGTGCGGTTGTCAGTGTTCTCGTAGAGCTGCTGTTTATGGCAGCTGATCAGACAGAACTGAATGAGGTGATAAATAAATGAGGATCACATATTCTGGATGGGATTTTGGCTGACAGATGATTTAAATATCCTAGATAGGATTTTAGCTGACAAGTAATCAAATATCCTTGAGACAGTTTTTTTGCTGAAATTGAGGGTTCATTCTATTAGTGTACTTGTTGGCAGACAGTAAGACAGTATCCACGTGATTCTTGTAGTCACATGATTTCTGTGGTTCATTGATTGCTTTAGCTGTATGATTTCTATAGTTCACTGATTGCCATAGCCATAAGATTCCTGTAGTTCACTGATTGCTATAGCCATATGATTTCTATAAATCGCTGATTGCTATAGCTGAATGATTTCTATAGTTCCCTGATAGCTATAGCCATATTATTACTGTAGTTCACTGATTGCTGTAGCCATGTGATTCCTGTAGTTCACTGATTGATGTAGCCATGTGATTCCTGTAGTTCACTAATTGCTGTAGCCATGTGATTCCTGTAGTTCACTGATTGATGCAGCCATGTGATTCCTGTAGTTCACTGATTGATGTAGCCATATGATTCCTGTAGTTCACTGATTGATGTAGCCATGTGATTCCTGTAGTTCACTTATTAATAAAGACAAATGATTGACTGTTTGTTGTAGCCACATGATTGACTGTAGTTCACTGATTGCTGTAGCCACATGATTGACTGTAGTTCACTGATTGCTGTAGCCACATGATTGACTGTAGTTCACTGATTTCTGTAGCCACATGATTGCTGTAGCTCACTGATTGCTCTCAGGTAACCAACAGTCTGGTCTCCAGAGATGGGATCTGTCAGCTATTGGTTATTCTGGAAATGTGTTTGTTTTAAAGAAGATTTTATTAATTTATTTCGCCTTATTGAACTATATCCATTTGATGATTGCAGTGCAGCTGCTCTGCTGTGACACCAGTGAAACGTGCAAACATGAACATCACTCTCCTGGTATCTCCACTAAAGATCATCTTGGATTTGATCTGTTTGTAGACCTGTATATTTTTGGTCCATATTTGCCTTGGCTGTTTCCCAAACTGAAGGACAAAACTGATACTTTTGGCTGACATGTTACAGAAGATGATATGCTCATGAAGAGGCAGTCAGTCAAATAACAGATTCTTTTCCAAGCTTTTAGGCATATAGGGCTAGACCTGTATTTTGTATACCCCGAACCCACAACCTTCCAATCTGCAGGCGAGCATCTAGCCACAAGACCATGCAGCTCCCCACGTGTACCCATGTATCTAAGACAAGAGGCTCACAACCAGGGTTATGTCAAAGACAGTGTTTCAATAATGACAAGTCTGGACTGTGATTTTCTCACGCTCAAATAGCATGTCAAATACTTGCTTATGCAGAACACACAAACACATCCTGTGACTTATTATACAGATCATATATTCTGTTGCCTTGTTTATACTGACACGTTATGTTTAATGAATGTTTCAGATACACTGCTGGTGTGTTGTTACACATACATGTACGATGCTTGTTTTTTCTGCGGTATTTCTGGCCTGTCTTGAGGTAATTTTGCACAGTCAACTTCTGCTGCGGGAGAGTTGGTGTTCTGCCACCATAGGTAGATTGTGATTGGTAGAGGAGCACTCTCACTTTATCTCTCTAACCATCTGTCTGTCTGCCTGTCAGTTTATGTGACATTTTTGTCTGTCTGTCTATAGAAGGTCTGTGTTCAAGGCCCACACAGTAAGTAGGTGACAGCAGTAGACAGTGATGGGTGATTGTTTGCCAGGCGGATACAGTGCCCCTCACAAAACCTGGCATACTGTAAGGTCCTGTGGGGGATGTGTGTGTGCTGAGTGCATGCTGTCTGTGACTGACTGGCACATGACAGCGATCTGAGCACCAGCAAGCACCAGTACTGTTGTGGCACTTGATAGTGATGAGAAGTACATTGCACACCTCAGCTGTTGCAAAGAAGAGCCTTTGTGATGAAGCTGGATTGACTCTCTACTACCTGCTAGGTCAGCAGGCTAAGTGCTGTGTTGATGTGCAGGGTAGGGGGCATGGGAGAAGACTGACAGCTGTAGGGCACACTGAAGATCTATGTCCAGTTCATGTTGGTTGCTTTTGGTTAACTGTCACTTTCTTCATACAGAGTTGTTCCGTCTCCATAAGGGCTGCTGTCTTCTTCTATAGGTCACACAATGAGAATCTCAGCTCAGTGCACAAACTCCACAGTGTTGACAGTAGACCCATCTATCACCGCTTGATATTTGAAAGAAATGAAGTGCTAGAAGTTCTCTAAATGATAGAAGACTGCTAAAACAAGGGGCAAAGCTAACCATTCTCACACACTCACTGATTACAGCGAGCCAGTGTTTGAAACGCTGGTGTGCTGATAATGTGCTTTCGTTTTCTTGTTTAATAAAGTGTGTCGTCCTGAGAGTGGTGACCACTGTTTGAGATCATTGATATTCTTGGTGAAAGCTGTCTGCACATGTCCTAGCTGTTAGTGCTACTTACTGTTTGGTGGTTTTTTGGTGTCACACTGAAGAGTTTATCATGTACATCCCATCAGACAATTGTCAGTGCTACTGTATGGTTTGTTAGGGGTCAGGTCACACCAAAGAGTTTACTGTGGACATCCCATCAGACAATTGTCAGTGCTACTGTATGGTTTGTTGGTGGTCAGGTCACACTGAAGAGTTTAATGTGGACATCCCCTCAGACAGTTGTCAGTGCTACTGTATGGTTTGTTGGGGGTCAGGTCACACTGAAGAGTTTACTGTGGACATCCCATCAGACAGTTGCCTGTGCTACTGTATGGTTTGTTAGGGGTCACACTGAAGAGTTTACTGTGGACATCCCATCAGACAGTTGCCTGTGCTACTGTATGGTTTGTTAGGGGTCACACTGAAGAATTTAATGTGGACATCCCATCAGACAGTTGCCAGTGCTACTGTATGGTTTGTTGGGGGTCACACTGAAGAGTTTACTGTGGACATCCCATCAGACAGTTGCCTGTGCTACTGTATGGTTTGTTAGGGGTCACACTGAAGAATTTAATGTGGACATCCCATCAGACAGTTGCCAGTGCTACTGTATGGTTTGTTAGGGGTCACACTGAAGAGTTTACTGTGGACATCCCATCAGACAATTGCCTGTGCTACTGTATGGTTTGTTAGGGGTCACACTGAAGAGTTTACTGTGGACATCCCATCAGACAATTGCCTGTGCTACTGTATGGTTTGTTAGGGGTCAGGTCACACTGAAGAGTTTACTGTGGACATCCCATCAGACAATTGCCAGTGCTACTGTGTGGTTTGTTGGGGGTCACACTGAAGAATTTAATGTGGACATCCCGCTAGACAGTTTTATATTTGACACATGAGCCTGGAACAAAACCAGTGTTTAGATTATTTTGTGAGCAACTTTATGCAAAACTGTGTGTAGTTTTTCCTTTGTTTCCATCATTTGTTTTTGTCAAAGGCATTAAAATAATTGGACATATTATCTCTTAGCAAAATATTTTTATGTGGTGCAGTTATTGGAATATGTGTCTGTTGCAATTGCTGCCAGACTTGATGTATTATTGCCAAACTGTGTATGTGTACGTAGGATGGTTATAAACATGTGTACTCATGTAGTGTTGCTGACAGATATCACATCAGCCTCTGAATCAATGGTTCTGGGTTGAAACCTAGTGGGAGGACACAGATTGTGGCTCCATCGTTTAGTTGTGACCTGTCAACTGAAAGGGCAGGCAGGAAGTAAACTGATCCCCCCCAGCCTTGACCTCTGACACTAGAGTTCACTATGATAATGTGACCTCGCCCCACTAAATCTGGGTTCTCACTGGTATACTTGCTTACCATAGTGGATGTTGTGGGTTCACTCTTCTAACAATCATACATGTCACTAGCATTGGTTCAACAGATCTTTCCTGTGTGAGAACTCATGTGTTGTGGATTCACACTTCTAACAATCGTACATGTCACTAGCATTGGTTCAACAGATCTTTCCTGTGTGAGAAATCATGTGTTGTGGATTCACACTTCTAACAATCGTACATGTCACTAGCATTGGTTCAACAGATCTTTCCTGTGTGAGAACTCATGTGTTGTGGATTCACACTTCTAACAATCATACATGTCACTAGCATTGGTTCAACAGATCTTTCCTGTGTGAGAACTCATGTGTTGTGGATTCACACTTCTAACAATCGTACATGTCACTAGCATTGGTTCAACAGATCTTTCCTGTGTGAGAACTCTTGTGTTGTGGATTCACACTTCTAACAATCATACATGTCACTAGCATTGGTTCAACAGATCTTTCCTGTGTGAGAAATCATGTCAGCTACTCTACATTTAAGTGTAGTATAGGAGAGGAGAAATTATTCATCCTCCACCATTCAGTTTTAGAAAGGAGAAGCTACCAGTCTACACGCCATCATTGGAGAATAGAAGCGACCAACTCTCTGCACTTTTTATTGTAAAATTGTAGATAATTTCCAGACAGCACACATATAACCGTAAAATTGTAGATAGTTCCCAGACAACACACATATATCTGTAAAATTGTAGATAGTTCCCAGGCAGCACACATATAACTGTAAAATTGTAGATAGTTCCCAGACAGCACATGTATAACTGTGAAATTATACATAGTTCCCAGACAGCACACATATAACTAAAATTGTAGATAGTTCCCAGACAGCACACATATAACTAAAATTGTAGATAGTTCCCAGACAGCACACATATAACTATAGAATCGTAGATAGTTCCCAGACAGCACATATATCACAGCAAAATCGTAGATAGTTCCCAGACAGCACATACATGACAGTAAAATTGTATATAGTTCCCAGACAGCACGTACATGACAGTAAAATAATAAACAGTTCGTAGAAAGGAAACAAAAGTGACAGTGAAATTGAAGAAAGGATGGGGGAAACAAAGGAAGAATATATTGAGGCCTATCAAGCAACTAGGTCAAGCAAGACCTTGGGGGGCGGGGCAGCTGCTTCCAGAGCATTGGCAAACAGTTGCACGTGGTGATCAGATCAGACTGGAAGAACATGCTACAGAACATCCAGACAGACAACCTATGCTGTGAATGGGGTAGGCAGCTCTCACTTGCATCTGCATACTTGGGCATGCCGAAGTAAAAGTAACGAGGAAGTGGGCCAGCTGACAGGTATTGCACCACTGACTGCATGCAACAAGGTGAATGCACAGAGCCGATGTCGTCAACAATATACCAACCGTCAGTGGAGGTACCTTGGGGGTGGCTGCTGTGTCGGAGGACTTGGCACGTATGGGAATGCCCAATTTGTAGTGAAGTCAATAGCGATAACAGAACATAATATAACTCTTACTGTCGGTTGTTGCAGGAATATGTTGCTCTCGGAAGGTGCTTTCTATTAGCACCAGTCAACAAGTGCCTGCTCTGTAGAAGTCTGCAACATGACCGGCAAAATGGCAGTTCGGGAGACATCTCTGCGAGCAAATAGAATTTATTCTATGGCGGCACAACAACCGTTACACGTGTTAGCCTGCTCTCACCATTGTCTCAAGAGTCAAGGAAAGAAGAAAGTCATTGAATTAGGAAGGTTAGTGTAGTGAAGTGTACGACGCCTGGTGAAACTAACAGAGTAGTTCTAGCGACAGTCTCTGATATCTGCATCTCTCATGCCCAGAGCGGCACAACTTCCTAGTCGACTACCGCGCTGCTGGCCCGCGTGGAACACCTAGATCAATAGATATCGACCCATCTTCTCAAATTCCCAGCTAGGACCCGGATGTGAAACCCCCGATGTTTAAACCGGGGTCAAGTTGGATCTGATCGTCTGCTCGCCAGCAGAGATGACCTCTATCGAGTGAAGTGAACCTTGTTTCCCTGTCGCTTGAGATTTTTCCCCCGCCAAATCAGGAAAGCGGTCGTTGTTAGCGATTGCCTCTCAGTGCAGACTTAATTCAACGGCGCTTGGAGTTCCGCAAACGCAAGTAAGTTGTCATTTAGTTTACCTTCCACGCGAGGACTGTGGCGTAAATGTTAGCACGTTAGCTTATCAACAGGAAGTTTGAAGTTCAAACATCTTATTCTTCTTGTTGCCGTTCACTACCTGCAAGCTGCGGCTGAAATTTCTGGTTGTTCATTCAATGTTGGACATTAGTTTTATTCCAGAAACTAAGTTTTGCGTGCACATCGTTTTTACATTGCTCGCTAATTTGTATGCAGACTGTTGGTTCGTCGCCTCTCAAACACATGAACTCCGACTTCAAAGGAAACACCCCTGTCGACTGTTACGACACGCTTATTGGGTCAGTGGGTCTGTTTTTTTCCCGGAACCCATACGAGTAGTGCAATCATTAAGATGGTAGGAGTATGTTCAAGTGAGACTTTCGGAATAATACAGGTTCTCAAACTTGCAGTGTTGTGCTGGCCTATGTTCTAGAGAGACAAAACGGGAAGGTGTGAGATTCCACTTCATTGTTTCTTATATTGCCCCGTGTGTCATAGTTATTCGACAGAGCCGCTGTTGGTCCTTCGGTAGCGTCGCTCAGTGCACGACACTCCGTAGCAGCAACATAAATCACCAGAAATATCAGAAACATCTGCACAAGATGAACGAAGGATGGAGTCAGAAATAAAAGCTACGACTTGCAGAGCGCCAGGAAAACTCCCACTCCCAGGGGATCAAAAGTGTCAACTCTGTGTGACCCACTCCTAGGGGATCACCCTTATGTGGTCAACTCTGTGTGACTCACTCCTGGTGGATGACCCTTAACTTGTCAGCTCTATATGTCACGCTCTCAGAGGATCATCCTTATCTTGTCAACTCTGTGAGTCCCACTCTCGTTGGATCGTCCTTTTCATGTCACGCTCTCAGAGGATCATCCTTATCTTGTCAGCTCTGTGTGTCTCACTCTCATTGAAACATCCTTTTCTAGTCATCTCTATGTGTCCCACTCTCGTTGGATCACCCTTATATCGTCAGCTCTATATGTCACCCTCTCAGAAGATCACCCTTATCTTGTCAGCTCTGTGTGTCCCACTCTCGTTGGATGACCCTTATCTTGTCAGATCTGTGTGTCCCACTCTCGTTGGATGACCCTTATCTGTCAAATCTGTGTGTCCCACTCTCGTTGGATCACCCTTATCTGTCAAATCTGTGTGTCCCACTCTCGTTAGATCACCCTTATCTGTCAAATATGTGTGTCCCACTCTCGTTGGATCACCCTTATCTGTCAAATCTGTGTGTCCCACTCACTAACATCTGAGAGACAATGTGAACGG